CACTGAAGTATATTTCGATGGCTGAGTGGAAGATCGACCTATCTCGGCAGCCAGTTCGAAAGCGCTCTATCTCAAAAAACTTTTCAAGAACGCCCTATTTCAGAATTCGTTTCAAAAACGCCCTATCTCAGCCGTCGATTCAAAAACGCCCTATATCAGCATATTTTCAATAAATTTTGAACCGAATTTTGAGATAGGGTGTTTTCAATTAAATTCTGAAGTAGGGCGTTCTTGAAAAGTTTTTTGAGATAGAGCGTTTTCGAACTGGCTGCCGAGATAGGTCGATCTTCCACTCAGCCATCGATTTACAAATATCACGTTTTATTATCTATATGTTTGAATTTAATTTCTTAATTTTAGTAAGTATTTCTTTACTGAATCCACCTGAATTTCGGGGGTTACTACTAGTTTTAATAAATTGTCAGTTTAATTTCTTATAAAATTTACCTTTAAGTTTTTGCATCTTAAGCATACATCGAAAATTAGTTTTAGAGAATCAGTGTGAAATAATTGCAGAAACGATTAACCCATTTTCTGAGCAACCGAGACGCCTGCTTTTTATATAATTTTTGTAAAACAAATCGGCAAGTACATATCGTTCCCCGCACGCAGAAACATGAATGCGTAAAAATTAAAATTTTGGGAAATCAACTTTGCAATTTTTTTACGAGACTTAACTCTACATTCATGTAATTGAAATTGTGAAATATGTGATTTCCGTGTACGCATGGTATTCTGGCTTTTGGTATAACATAGAAGATAGAAAATCCAAAGGTTAATCAAGTCAACCCAATAACTCAAAATTGGTAAATTTGCACATTCATGTATCTGGCATAAGTGTGACGATATGTATTTACTTCGTATTTATTAATTTTTTATACGTCTGTCCTACATATCTTTGTAGTAAGAAAATAGTAGTCGTATTTCGACACCTGAGTGGAAGATCGACCTATCTCGGCAGACAGTTCGAAAACGCCCTATATCAGAAAACTTTTCAAGAACGCCCAAATTTGATTGAAGAACGCCCTATTTCAGAATTTTATTGAAAACCACCCTATCCCAGAATTTTGTTTAAGAAGGCCCTATTTCTGAATTCGGTTCAAAATCGCCTTATCTGAAATGAAAATGTGCTGAGATAGGGCGTTTTTGAATCGGCAACTAAGTTAGGGCTTTTTTGAACCGAATTCTGAGATAGGGCGTTCTTGAAAAGTTTTCTGAAATAGGGCGTTTTCGAACTGGCTGCCGAGATAGGTCGATCTTCTACTCAGGTATCGATTTCCTGTTAATATTCCTCTATGTATTTTCGTGAAAACAAGGCAAAATATTTTTTTATTTTCACTTTTATTTCAACATATTTTGATTAAAAGAAAAGTACTGATAAAAATAAAATATTTCACATAAACAACAAAAAATATAATAGATAATCGCATAAAGCTATTGCCTGAAAATTTTCAAATGCACTTAGTGGCATTATGCTACTATGATAGCACGGCCCAGTAATCATAGTCAACTTATGTACAGTAGACTGCATCACTCCCCATACAAAAAAAAGGCGTCAGTACTAGGTACTCATGAAATTTGATGTGTAAACATATGCGAACGGCAAAGCATAAAAGTACGTTTACATATAAATATAATCTCAATCAAAGCTCGTTAGCTGTCAAATTGGTTGTGCTTGTTATTCACACAACTCGAGGAATAGTTAAACTTCTTCTCTGTGCCACCGTGGTCACTTTTTCCGCAAAACACATATTATGCCATTTAAATATATTTTAACTGAATATTTTATTAAAAATACCTTTACAAACCTATTTTCCTTACTAGCGTCAATTTTTGTTTACTTTAACATTTGACATTCCTCCTCTTCTTCGTATAATCGATAAAACTAGGTTGGACATCAAAAAGTTATCGGTTTAATCTGATATATTTTTAATTATAATTTTGCATGGCCAATCTCTTAAGCTCGAAAACTAGGATAATCTTTTTATATGTAAAGCTTTTATTAGGCGATTCAGTGACATACATACAAATGTAAGTTAGGTTAGAAATTAAACATTAATTTCTCTTAATTTTATTTATTTTGCTGATTTAATTTTTTTACTCATTTTCATTCTTAATTCTTTTAATACATGAAATTATCGGTATAATTTACAACATATGATACTTGTATATACTTGTGACTCAAGGGCTTTAAAATATCTTGGAAACTCCGCATCAGTTATATCAGTCAGCATTTCTATTTGTATATATTCCTAAATTTAGTTTTTCTGTTCGGAATATAATCTGTGGTTCATGTAAATGAGAGCGATTTTTGGGAGAGTTGTGTAGAGATTGAAATTGCAGGATTTTACCTGATGCTTTTTTGTTCCGGACGTTTTGCTGTTACTCATTTTTACTCTCACTTCAGAGAGTGATTTTGCTGTTTGACCTTTTTCCATACATATGCATATTATACATATGTACATATATTCATGTATGTTCATCAGTTATCAACGGTCCCAGTTAAAATGATTTCAGTATTTTTTTAAATTTTCGCCTACTAAACCTATGCCTAAAACCATCTACGAATATCAAAAGCAGGGCATGAATCACGTATGACGACAATCGTCTGAACGATATCGTGTCGAGATTGTCTTGCTTCATAAAAATCAAAAATTGTTTGTGCGATATCGTCAACTCGATTCCAGTTTTTCTTCACGTAACAGTAATACGTAACAGCAACACAAGTTCACCACAGTCACTTTCATGACAGCTAGTCATTGCTCGCTATTCTAGCGCTTTAACAAAAGCTTGTTTTGCTGACAGTCTTGTCAGTTCTAGAAAAGGTGCTGACAGCTGTTTATTGTGTTCATTTTAGAAATTTTAATATTTGCATAGACAATGAAAGCCCAGGAAAAAAAAGAAAAAATGTATAAAATGGAAAAATGGAGTGATACACTAGGGCTGGGCGTCTCCAAAAACCCAGGGCTAAGAGGAAGTGAGTCTCCGTTACTTGCGACTGCAACGCCTAAAGCTCTTACATGTTCTAAACCGGCAACTGCTGCTGTTCCAAATGTGTCCAGCGCTAGCTCTCCGAAGTCACTGGGAGGTCTGTTAGCGGATGGTCCACCACCAGTCAGTCGTTGGTCCATTTTAATGCGTCGCGCTCACGTGCGTAATTGATTTTTCCAATTCCCTAATGTCTGTAAAGAAAACAACGTAGCCATTGACGCACAAAAAGAGTATTATATTGTTTTTATGTTTTTTGTTGTAGCATGAACTATGTTTTTATACGAAATTAGCTGAAAAATATTAGAATAAAAATTGTTGCATATATTATGAAAAATTTGCTGTGCCAATACTTTGTTCCGGCAGTGTATGTGTATATAACCTCTTTCCATTTGATTGCCGTGCGTGTTGGACTGTTTAAGGTGTTCAGCCCTTGTGCTACCTCCTTCCAAAGCAATTGCATACGCCGCGGCTCCTTTGGATTGTTTTTTTCCTGCTTGGAACTCCGGGTGTTGTAGGCAAAAATTTTTGAAAAACTTCAGCTGCTCTGCGCTGGAGCGTTCAAACTTTACGCACCTACATACATTCATATGTAGTACACATATTGGGGTGTATTCTTGTTTTCGTACGAATCGAAAATCATGAAATTTTCTTATCATTTTTTATACAAAAATTTCAAATTTTCGATTCTTACGATATCCGGAATATGCCACATTATTTCAAAAGAAAAGGAAATAAAGAAATTTTTATCACACTATCAAAATAATAACACATTTTAAGTATTTTTTTACACAAAATATGTAAACAAACTTATTTCTTCTCAGTTGCCATCTGTTTGACTTAACTCACCAGTCAGCTGTTTTGCCTTTCATTGCGTGGTGAGTTTAAAGAGCTTTCAGCTTTTCAGTCATCGAACTAGAATAGCGGGGGAGCTTTCAACTGACAACGTCTCTGACATGGCAGCACTGACAAGCAACGCTGTCAGTTTTTACAGAATCGGGCTGTAAATCAGTGTTTTGACAACATCGTTTTGTCAGTATCGTTTGAACGACTATCGTTTCAAAGTTACGTGATTCATGCCCAGTTGCAACAAATGAGTCCATACATATTTATGTACATACATAGGTACAAAGCCGTATGCATTAGGAATGCCAAAATATCAGGAAAATTGGGATACCGGGATTTCGGGATATTTTTTAGGTAATCCTGGGATCCTGGGATTTATCCCGGGATTCAAATTGAGTCATAAATTTTATGAATATGAGTAAAAATTCAATATCTGAAAGCATTTAAACATACCATTAAATAAAACTATTTAAAATTTACGATAAACTGATTGTAAAACTCATATATCGCTAGCTTAGAGTGAAAAGTTGCTAACTTCACTTTTAATGAAAAATAATTTTTTGATATAGGAGGCTAGATAAATTAAAATTGCATCGTTTCGAAAAGGGTAAAGGTCCTTGTTTTATGTTTACTCGTTTATATTCAATGAAAGGAAAATTTGCTAAGCCAAAAAAAGGTCCGAAAATTCGATAAGGCCAAAAAAGTTCGAAATGTTTTAATAAATGTGGTGCCTTCAGGCACAACAACAACCTACATCTATTTTTAGTTATAATNGTGGTGCTTTCAGGCACAACAACAACCTACATCTATTTTTAGTTATAATTATTCTTCTTTGGCCACTGTAAGAACTAGTTTTAGTTTCACTCATTATTGTACCCCGTTATAATTTAATAAACGACGATGAGAGCACTTTGCGGTTGTCGCATTGCTTTTGCTTTTACTTCCATTCCATTCGTTGGAAACAACATAAACTTAAGAAGAGTACAAGCAAGCGGCAAATTTTTAATCCTCATCCAACTACTAAAGAAGTAACTAGTTTCGATTTGCAACTCGTGACCTCCAAAGTGGTGACCCCGTTTTAAAGAAGATCCGTTGCATCGACAGTTACTGAAAAACTGTAAGCCACACGTCAGCTAATATCGCTTATAATTTTTAAGACATCGAAAATGGCATCTAAGGATTCTTCGGATGCAGCAGCACCTTTGGCAACAAAGGACGAAGCCACAGGAAATAGTCCAATGCCTCCTATAGGCGCAGCTCAATTAACACCCTCAGATGTCAACGCTGTGGCCGTAAAAATCGACATGCCAACGATCGACCGCAGGAACATCGAAGGATGGTTCCTAAGTCTCGATTACTGGTTCCCCGCAATGGGTATCAAAAGCCATACCCAGAAATTCAACACGGTGATGGCAGCTCTCGGTCCACGTACGCTGCAAGATTTCCTAGCCACGTTAGGAGAAGTGCCTGACCAGGGTCGATATGAATTCGTCAAACAGCGACTAATAACCTTCTGCACCGACAGCCAGCAGCGACGCTTAAATCAAGTGCTGAACGAAACCCAGCTGGGTGATCAAAGGCCTAGTCAGTTGTTTACGGAAATGATGCGGCTAGTCGGCGATACAATGAGAGAATCAGCGGTAAAGAATCTGTGGGCAAAACGTCTACCAGTTTATGCTCAAGCTGCTGTAGCTGCGTGCTCAGGCCCACCGGAAGAATACCTTAAAATTGCGGACGCCATCGTCGACACTATCAGCCTGCAGGTGAACAGCAGCACAGCTGAAAAAGGCTGCCGCCTTACTCCGGCATCAGCCACGTATGCAGAAAAATCGCAAGCCAACACCGAGTACAACGAGCTACAAAGCGCCATCAATGCGCTAGCACAACGTTTCGACCGCCTCTATACTGATCGCAACACCGATAGGAAGGGTAATAGATCCAGATTCCGACAGCAGTCTCGCGAGCGCCGTAGAAGCAGCACACCTGCTAACTTAGATGAGTGCTGGTACCACCGAAAATTTGGATCCAATAGCAAGAATTGTAGACCACCATGCAAACACTATAAGACTAGCAGAGGTGATCACAGCCCGAAATGATTCGAAGCGGTCGTTGGCGAAAAGTTCTCGGCGGACGCCAGCGTAAACCGCCTTTCTATCAACGACCGAAAATCCGCCATTTCGTTTTTAATTGACTCTGGCGCCGACATCTCCGTTCTGCCACGTCAATTTTCGCATACGATGACGCCATCCTCCGTGAAACTCTACGCCGCCAATGGTACGACCATCGCTACATTCGGTCAACGACGACTCAGCCTCGACCTCGGCCTACGAAGATGTTTCGATTGGATATTCACAGTTGCAGATGTACGCACACCCATAATAGGAGCAGACCTCATACGCCATTATGGATTACTTATCGATCTTAAGAATAATAAAGTGATCGACAGCATGACGAAGATATGTGCACCGTGCAGCAGGCAGAAGGTAGGTGCAGTCGCAATCAAAACGTTCGATCGCGCTTCAAAATGTGCTGACCTGTTAGCAGAGTTTCATGACATTACGCGTTTGTCATCCGACCGCAAAAACGCTTTTGTAACGCAACACAGGATAGAGACATTCGGACAGCCCGTTTTTGCCCGTCCCCGACGCCTCGATCCAGCGAAACTACGAATAGCTAGAGAAGAATTCGAGTTTTTGTTACGACAGGGCATTATCCGCCCATCCAATAGCAACTACGCTAGCCCATTGCATATGGTCAAGAAGGCCGATGGTGGATGGCGCCCATGCGGAGACTATCGCAGATTAAACGCCCAAACCACGCCCGACAGGTATCCAATACCCTATTTGCAAGACTGCACAGCAATATTGGAGGGAAAACAAATTTTCAGCAAAATAGATTTGCATAAGGCGTATCATCAACTACCGATTCACCCAGATGACGTCCACAAGACGGCCATAACGACCCCATTCGGTCTCTATGAATATCTGTACATGCCATTCGGGCTGCGAAACGTCGCCCAGTCGTTCCAGAGATTGATTCACGAAACTCTGCGTGGGCTGCAGTTTACGTTTGCATACATCGACGATATACTCATCGCATCCGCTAACCACGAAGAGCACCAACGCCACTTACGTACAGTGTTCGAGCGCCTGAGGAAGTACGGACTGGCAATCAATCCGTCCAAATGTGAGTTTTTGGTAAAAGAAATAAAGTTCCTGGGTCATTTAATAACGCGAAGCGGCATTCAACCCTTGCCTGAACGAGTTCAAGCGATTTCCAAATTCGAAAAACCGGTAGTCGCACACCAACTGAAAAAGTTTTTAGCTACCATAAATTTCTACCGCAAGTTCTTGCCGCGCGCAATCACTTACCAGAGAATACTTACAGCAATGATCCCAGGAAATAAGCGGAATGACAAGACACCGCTGCAGTGGAGTGACGAACAAACGGCCGCGTTCGAAAAATGCAAACACGAACTTGCAAACGCCGCTATATTGGCACACCCACTTCCAAACGCTGTTTTGTCTCTGGCCACCGATGCGTCCGATGTCGCAGTGGGAGCTGTGCTGAACCAGCTTACAGAAAAGGGGCCGCAGCCTCTCGGGTACTTCTCTAAAAAGCTGACGACTACGGAACAGAAATATAGTACCTACGATAGGGAACTTCTGGCTATATATAAAGCTGTTAAACATTTTAAGTATATGCTTGAGGGTCGATCATTTCATATACTCACAGACCACAAACCGCTTATATTCGCGTATCAGCAGAACAGCGATAAGGCTTCACCAAGCCAACGACGACAGCTTGATTTTATAAGCCAGTTTTCGACCGATTTCCGACACATCAACGGTTCCAACAATCACCTGCCAGACCTACTTTCTAGAATCTGCGAAATTAAACTCCCGATCGATTACAGCGAGATAGCAAGAACACAGAAAATTGACCCTGAGCTTCAGGAGTTGCTCAAGGATAATACAACTTCTCTAACATTTAAGCTTGTTAAAATTTCAGGTTGTAAAAGCGAGTTGTGGTGTGATGTATCTTCGCGAACGGTGCGTCCGTTCATACCGAAGCAGTTTCGAGCGCAAATATTAAAAAATGTCCACGAGATGTCACACCTAGGTACCAAAGCTACTGTAAAGATGGTTACCGAACGCTTCATTTGGCCGAATATACGTAAAGAGGCTACCCTCTTCGCGCGTTGTTGCATTCCATGCCAGAAATCGAAGGTGAATCGCCACACAAAATCGCAGCTACGACAATACATGCCGCCCAACCGACGCCTGGATCATATCAACATTGATATAATCGGGCCCCTTCCAGTTCACAATGAACAACGTTACTGCCTAACCTTAATCGACCGGTTCACACGCTGGCCGGAGGCTGTTCCCATACCCGACATGACGGCTGAAACTGTCGCACGAGCCTTAGTCACTACGTGGATAGCCCGCTACGGTTGTCCGCAGTTCATCACCACCGATCAAGGCCGTCAGTTTGAGTCCCACCTGTTGAAGGAATTGTTCAAGGTATTGGGAACAAAACACATCAGGACAACACCTTACCACCCGCAGGCTAACGGCATAATAGAAAGGTGGCACAGAGTACTGAAATCTTCTATTTTGGCAGCCGGTAAAGAGGTTTGGACAGACAATCTACCCTTAGTTCTGCTCTCCCTTAGAACAGCATACAAGCCCGATCTTCAAGCATCCCCAGCCGAGTTGTTGTTCGGCACGACGTTGAAGATACCGGGAGAATTCGTTGAGGAAGCGCGTTCCGAGCAAACGCCCTACGAATTTCTTCAAAACCTACGAAAATCAATGAAGCAACTCCGACCTACGCAAACCATATTTCACTCAACTTTGACGAGCTATGTCCATCCTGACATGATGAAGTGCTCACACATCTTAGTTCGAAACGACTCCATCCGCCCATCGTTAACGACACCTTACGAGGGGCCATACAAGGTAATTCAACGAAACGCAAAATTTTTAACGATTTTAATTAACCAACGGAAAGTCAACATCAGCATCGACCGATTAAAACCAGCATATGTTTGGGTAAGTGACGAGCCAGCAGAGGTGACACCGACATCACCGAAGCAAAAACAACGTCCGATGGAAAAACAGCCAGTCAATCTCCACGAAGAACCTCAACCGCCACAACGGTTGAGGCCAAAACGAACCATAAGGAAACTCGTACGCTTTCATTAAACGGGGAGTACTGTGGTGCCTTCAGGCACAACAACAACCTACATCTATTTTTAGTTATAATTATTCTTCTTTGGCCACTGTAAGAACTAGTTTTAGTTTCACTCATTATTGTACCCCGTTATAATTTAATAAACGACGATGAGAGCACTTTGCGGTTGTCGCATTGCTTTTGCTTTTACTTCCATTCCATTCGTTGGAAACAACATAAACTTAAGAAGAGTACAAGCAAGCGGCAAATTTTTAATCCTCATCCAACTACTAAAGAAGTAACTAGTTTCGATTTGCAACTCGTGACCCTCCGATTCGTATGGAGTTTTGCTTTGCTTTAAACAGGCAAAATGTTAAAGTTTTGCGAAATACTTGAAGAAAATGGCTATACGAAGTTTTTTCCACTCCTGTACAATTTTTAAATTGGGCCTTAGCAACTTTGCACTCTACGCTAGCGATATTTATTAAATCAGACAAATTTTAAAGTAAAAATTTTTTTTAATTGTATTTAAAGAACCATGGGATTGAGGAACGTATACATCACAAATAATAATGTAAATATCAGGTACTTTTGAAAGTGACGATTAATAACAAAAATATACAAAAACAATTTCTCTAAACATGTTTATTCTACTCTATAAAGAAATGGCGAATGGAGAATTTTTTGCCATTTTTTTCGCAATTTACTAGAAATTTTGAGGGTGTACGAGTCAAACGGATCTCAGAATCGGATTCAGCGGGTCGAAATACATGTTGGTAGTTGGGTCTGGTTAAAAACACACACCCCTTTTTTGCCGGTGTTATTCTTATTTCACTTAACCCAAATTGTCCCAGATTAATTTTTTTTAGAGTTTTTTTGGTTTCATCTATATACAGGGTAAAAGTAGCTTAAAGTAAAGGAAAAAATATGACTAAAACTTTGGGAGTAGTATCGGCCGTTGCCATATGGCACACCCGGCATATTCCAGATGGATTGTTAGAGGACAGTATTTGGTTAAAATATGAAATAATAGAAACATTGTGTATAAGTTTTAATACATTTATTGATAATATATGCATATTCTACGTGCAAAGCGGATGAAAAAGTTAATGAAAAGTAGCAAAACATTTCAAACATAAACCCACTCACATTTTGCAAAGGCTACTCGTCCTATAGTTTTACATGCTTCACCAGCAGAAAGAAGTTTTTTTGTCAATTTGTATGGGCCAGTGGTGTAGTCACAAAAAGATATAAGGTCCCGGTGTGGAGACCCCCGAGGCTAGGTATTTAGCATCTAGGTGTCAATTAAAGACCACAGAAAGTATTTGGGAGTAGTCTTGGAGAGTAAGCTGCTGTGCATGCGCAATGTTGAAGAAAGAGAGAAGAAGGCCAGTAACGCCCTTTATGCATGTAAAAGAATGCTGGGAGTCACTTGGGGTTTGTCACCTGCTCTGATGCATTGGTGCTACACAGCAATAGTCAGCCCAATACTGCTCTATGGCGCTCTGGTGTGCTGGAATGCCGCACAAAAATTCTTATGCCTCGGGCCAATGGAGAAGGTGCAGCGCCTAGCGGCACTGTGTATCGCGGGAGCGCTGAGGTCCACTTCGACGGCTGCCCTTTAAAAAACCCTTAGTTTACCGCCCACTGGCCGATTTGTGGAAAACCGTGCTGCGAAATTCGCACTTAGATTGACGGTCATAGGGAAATTAAATATCAGAACCTTTGGGTACCACTTAATTGGGGCGGGAAGCACAAGCAGCACAGGCTTCATGGCACCTAGCTTTAAGTGGAAACGAACTTTTTGCACAACGATTGAGGAAGAGGGATGGAAATGAAACCTAGCCATAGATGCCTAAACATTTTCATGGACGGCTCTAAAATGGTTACGGGAGTGGGTACCGAGATTTACTGCCGGGAACTGAACATCAGGCGGCCAATAAGGCTACCTGACCATTGCAGCATATTTCAAGCAGAGGTTTTCGCAAAGAGGATAACTAAAGAGCTAGCCCTCACCGAAACGAAAATCAATTCAAACTTAAACCTACTCCAGGCGGCAATGAAGGCAGTTTCCTCATATAGTACTTCATCCATAAACGTCCCTCGCAGCCGGGCAGCCATTGACAAGCTAGACGCTGACAAAAGGCTACATATCTATTGGGTGCCCGGTCACAAGGGAACCTAGGTTAATGAAGTAGCAGATGAGAATGCAAGAAACTCCACCACTTTTCCCTGGAACTGACAGACTATATTTGTATACCACTTCAACACTTGTACAATGAAATATACGATAATATGATTAGGTAGTTCAGAGCTAGATGGAATGAGTTAACCACCTGCAAAACTGCAACAATACATACAAACGATTTTTGTTTACACCGTCTCATACATGATGGTATTTTGCGTTGCCATAGGGCAACACGGGGTCAATTTGGGCTAGCGAACATATCAAAATTTGGTAAAAAGAGGAACA